TTTACATTGCAGGGTTAACATGAGTCTATTTTCTCTTTATACTGCCGCTCTTGGCAAACTTATTACCTTTTTTGGATTCCACTACCACCTGTACACTGATGATACCCAGATATATCTTCTCCCTGGACCTCTCCCCTGCAATGTGTCACTGCTTGCCTTTCTTCCTTCTCTGACTGGATGTCCTCACACATTCTGAAACTCAATCTCTCTAAAACTGAGCTCCTTTTCTTTCCTCCTCCAAATACTGATCATCCTCTTTCGCTCTCCCTTCAAGTTAGTGGTATCCACATAGGTCCATCCTTGCAAGCGCGCGGTCTTGGCGTCATACTTGCTTCTGGCCTCACCTTTGAGCATCACATCCAGTATATTGCCAAATTCTGTAGATTACAACTTAAAAACATAGCCCGCATCCAACCCTTTCTTACAAAAGATGCTACCAAGGAGCTTGTCCATGCGCTAGTAATTTCCCGCATGGGTTATTGTAACCCTCTCCTGATTGGTTTTCCCAAAAGCCGTATTGCCCCGCTACAGTCTGTAATGAATGCCGCTGCCAGACTGATGTTCTCTCGAGTCGGTCCTCTCACACCTCACCCCTCTGTCAGTTCTTACATTGGATCCTTGTATCCGATATGAGTCAATTCAAAGTGCTAACCCATGTAGATAAAGCACTGAACAATTCTAGCCCCTCATATCTCTTTACAGATCCATAGGTATGCCCCTTCTTGGTCCCTCTGCTCTGCCCATGACCTTCTCCTGTCCGCTACTCGCACCCGTATAGCCAACTCATGCTTGCAGGACTTCTCACGGGCGGCTCCATTGCTATGGAATAGCCTGCCTACCTCAATCAGACTCTCCCCTAGTCTTCAATCATTTAAGAAGTGCCTTAAAACCCATCTCTTTAGGAAAGCTTATGGCCTCCCAGAGTAACCTCTACTTCACATACCGGTCTTTTGCTGTCTCCTAAAGGGCAGCACTTTACTCTCTCTTCCAGCTCTGCCTCACTCCCAACTTATTTGATTGCTTTTCCCTGTCCTAATGTGTTTTATATTTATTGCTCCTGTATTTGGTCTGAGATTACTGTGGGTTATCCCCTATTCAGTGTTTAAGGCTTCAATCACCTTTCAAGTGCACTTTTTTGCTCTGGCATATCGATTTACCCTTATTGTGGTTGTAACGTACACTCTCTCAATAATGCCATTCGATCCATGCAGCTTCTTAGAATAAAGTATCTCTACTCCTCACCCTTTCATTACTTGACTAGTAACGGAATAGTGCTTGGCCAGAACTCCTTATTCCTGCCACTATATACGCCCACTTTTTCTATTGAGGTTGTGGGGGAATCGGACTCCTCCCACTTTATATGTCCCTATTGATCACTCATGGTGCACACTACTTTAGCATCTCCTTTAATATCCACTTTGAACATAAAATTCTTACAAATATTGCTGACCCGATGAGTCGGTTAGCAATTAGTATTAACATGGTGTGAAAAAAACTTTTCTTATTCACATATACTTAATATATTTGGTTTTGTTGTTCTCCATTGTCTTTATATGATCACATGACTTACAATCCATGTATCAGCAACAGGGACGGGCTATTCAATTGCTCGATTGAGCCATTGTGTTTCTGCACCCCTGATGATCCCGGCATAGCGTGTGAAACACTCACGAGTGTGCATACTTTTTTGTTTATTTATTTTCATTTTTTGGATCAACTTTCTTTGTTTGATACAAAACAAAGGAAGATGGAATAAAAGTTCTGTTTTATTTATAAATTTATCCAGAGAGTTTATTTTTGTTCAAATTTAAGGGTGTAAACCCCTGAGTAGTGATGTCCCGAACGGTTCGCCGCAGACTCATCATTGAGTAAACTTTGATCCTGTACCTCACAGTCAGCAGACACATTCCAGCCAATCAGCAGCAGACCCTCCCACCTCCTGGACAGCATCCATTTTACATTCATTGTGAAGCTGCATTCTTAGTGAGCTGTCCAGGAGGTGGGAGGGTCGGGGAGGGAGGGTCTGCTGCTGATTGGCTGGAATGTGTCTGCTGACTGTGAGGTACAGGGTCAAAGTTTACTCAATGATGAGTCCGCGGCGAACCGTTCGGGATATCGCTACCCCTGAGTTGTGTGGACAAGCAACTCTTTAAAACTCTAGGACTTTTTCTCCTTTTATGTTTGTATTGCTAACGTTTGTGTTCCTTTAAGCCTTGCAGTGGATGAAGCAGGAGGCTGGCTGCTGGTGGCGTAAAGATATAGGTCTGCTTACCTATTCTAAAAGCATGCAACTCCCGATCACCTGCTTTAATTGCACGTCTGATGGCTGCACTTTTCAGTCATCCGTCTACATTTAAAACAAACTACCGCTTTCAAACAGGATCCTCGTAGTTTGTGATGGGTGCATGACCAAGGCTGCATTTCCATTATGTTTTGGTACATGTTTCATCCCTGAACATAGTATTGGATTAACACTGTATACAAGGTTTAGCTGTGCCATGTTTGCATACAATATAAGTGCACATTTAAAATTATCTACCTTAATTTGCTTTTGGGACTGTACTATTTCCTTAACTTGGGAACATCCACAAAAACAGATATGCTAAACAGATGTTTGATATGTACTTATACTTCTCACATATAGAGCAAAGAAAACGTGATATCCTCACCTCTTTCCTTTCAGATCATGATCCATTTTTAGAAGGTCTGGAAGGTCCTTCTTCATGCACCTTCTGGATCTGCCAAGTGAGTCTACATAGTCCACCCTGACAAAAGAAACCTTTCATTTAATGTGTGCTACAGATAAAATACAAAGAAAGTGTTCCCAAATAACTCAAAAAGGTTGCTACAACGACCGTATACTGTGGTCTTTAAAGAGACAATATGGGTACCAATATAACAAAGGCATTTTTGCATCATAATATGCGGTTTGCTCAGGGGGGATTTTACAGAATGCCGCAACATAAACCTGGCTACCTAGCCATGCCCATTCACTCAATAAAAAGACTTCCTTATTAGTATGCATACACAGCAGTGCCCATTACAGCACTACTTGAGAAAAGTCCGGTTGGGCTGAAACGTCGATGTATGATTTGTGCTGAATAAAAGCATCTATACTTTCTACAGATCATAGAGTGCACTTGTCTTCATTCCTGTATTATGGCTGGAGTTAGCGCCAGGGCATTCTAAAGACCAGGGAACTTGAGTGCTGGGATCGTGGTTTATACATACACACCTATAATAATGCATATATATGATTTCATTATAAGTGTATTTTGAGATATATGTGTATATATATATATCTCAAAGTACACTTATAATGAAAACATATATTTATTTATAAAATATTTTACCAGGATGGACACATTCAGATTTCTCTCGTTTTCAAGTATGCATTATTTTATAAATATACATATATACATACACACACACACACACACACACACACACACACTTTTTTTTGTTTTTTAGCAGCCTGGGCGAATGACTGCGCAGACTGTCCCCCTGCTGGCAGCTCCATAGACTCCTATTGCAGCAAAGTGATCATGGTGATCAAAAGGCCCTGGATTCTCCAGCGGTCCCGCCCTACTGTAATTGCCGGTCCAGGTAAGTCCAGGGCTCCTATTTGCTGCGGACGTACCAACGACCATTTTTTGTCGGACGTACCTAGTACGTATATATATATATATATATATTTTATATCGGGTACGTCCGAGGTCGGGAAGGAGTTAAAAATGTACATCATTGGTGGCCAAAAAGGTTCCCCCCCATCATCTTTAAGACTGGCAAAGCATCAAGGTTAGTGTGGTTCTCCAACAGATGGGTATCTACCTTTTGGCCAGCACTGGTTTACATGCTGCATAATGTGAGGAAATTTTTCTATTTTTGTTCAAAATATGCATGCTATTTTGAGAGGAGAACACTAGTTTTAACAAACCATTCTTCTCCCGGATCTTGAGGAGCTGGAATTGGTAGACCAGGATTCATTTCATACTCTTCTGTTGGCTTCTCCTTTTGACATAAAGCCTGCACCTCCTTCCGTTTCTCTATAATCTTCTGAGCAAAATCCACCAGGTACAGCTCTTCTGTCTCCTCATCTGTTAGGTAATGGTGTTTTCCCAACAGAGAGAACAGGAAATAAAGAAACCGTTAGGAGTTACATTTCCACTTCACTCAAAGAAAGAAATAATGGGCTTAAGAATCAGAGCTTTGATACTGCACTTCAAAAAAGGAGAGAGTAACTTAAAAAGGAGAGTGTGTGAAGTGTGTGCCAAATGAGAGCTTCTCTTCGCATACATGAAAGGGAGAGCTACAGTGGCAACCAAGCGCAGCAATCTCAAATCATCATGTTAAAGTAAAAAAGGAGATAGAGAATGGAAGGAACGGAACACTGACATTCAGTGACTAAGGATGGCACATAATAAATGAACTACTCTTTAAAGATCACATTAAATCAATGTGTCAGAAAATAGTAAGTGCATATCTATTTAACATACTATACCATGACATTTAACCATCGCTTTGCCACTAAGCATTTTTCCTTCTTTTGCTTATTTAATTATGTGAATTTACATCACGTAAAAAAAACAAAAAAAACAACACATTTATAAAACATAAAAAATAAATACAGTGTCGACTATAGATTTTTCCAATAAAGTGCATTATATTCAACAATATCTGGTCTATTTTCTAAACATAATTAAACTTAAAAGTCCATAAATCAACCTATTACATTTATAGCACAAAATTATATCAACAAGGACACTAAGCACATTAAATACGAACACTAAAATATCAAAATTGTAGCTCTCCTTGTACCTCTGGCAATTTGTAATCATTAAAAGAACACTCCGGGCACCAATACAGCTTTAATGCATTTGACCTCATATATATGCAGGTTTTTTTGACAATTTTTATTTGAATTTTTTTCCTTTTTTCAGCAGTGAACAATACATCAGTAGTGATGTCGCGAACTTGCCGCGAACCGTTCGCAGCGAACTCCGGTCAGCTGACACATGCCTGCCAATCTCCGGCAGACCCTCCCTCCCAGACCCTCCTACTTCCTGGACAGCTTCAACATGGATGCTGTCCAGGAGGTGGGAGGGTCTGCCGGAGATTGGCAGGGATGTGTCAGCTGACCGGAGTTCTCCACGAACGGTTTGTGGCGAACCGTTCGCGACATCACTATACATCAGTACATTCAGAAACACACTGCACAACACAAAAAAAGCCAGCTACAATCGTTAACAGAGTGTACAGACAATTTTGTTTGTTTTTGCAAACAGCCCGAGATCTGACTCATTTGTTAGAGTAAAGCACTCGTATCAGGTTGACAACTTGTACATCCGTTGGCTATTCATTTGTTAACTCCAAATCCAAGTGCATCCACTGTTGGAGAGATGATGCAATCGGTTAACAAGCGAGTCCCAGGAGTCGAGTATGTTGAAAACAGCGAGTCCTGTCAAAGTCTAACAATTGTGTATCTTATGCAGATCCTACCCAATCCTGTCCCCTGTCTTCGACCCTCCCCCTCGCCACCCCATGGGTTGGCATACTCGATAAATAAAAGAAAACACAATGGAGGAAAAAAAACGAAAAGAAAAAAACAAAAACATTCATATACATATATACATAAACTTCCCTCACTACAACCCCCCCTCACTCACCCCCCACAGATAGACTACACGGCCAGAACCATCCATGTCCCACCTGAACTCGGACTGACCATCTAATTAGGAGTTGTTGCTCTCCTAGCCATTAAGTCCCTCCACAAGGCCCAAATCTGCTTGCAGCGCTCAATTCCTGAACATTGAGCATCCACTGCTGGAGAGATGTTGCAATCGGTTTACAAAAGATTCGAGAAATTATGGATTTAGCTGCATTCAAAAAATGTTTAGTTAACGATTTTTTATACCTGGAGAAAGGCATCTTCGTGTGGTGTAGGAGTAATAGAAGAAGTTGTAGCGGGATATCTGTGTCAATCAAGTTTTGAATTGTGGCATGGATTTGCATCCAATATGACACTATTTTACTGCATGTCCACTATATGTGTAAGTTGGTACCAACCTCAACACCACACCTTTTCATACATCTTGTGCAACAAGTCAGCTGTCATGTACTAGCATGTTAGGAGTCTATAATTCAATTTTGCAGAATTCTGAACCATAAGCCTGCCCCCTTTGCCAAGCACTTTTTCATGTCAGAAAAACTTCCTTATCAAAAAGGTATGCACCCTGTCTGTGCCCCAAGAGCACTGCTGCTTTTAATTCACAACCTGGCTGCAGGCAAACAAACAAGTAATGATATTCTTACTGTATGCCCCCCTGGGTGCCAGGTGTCCTGTCCTTCTAATGCAGGTTGTTTGTAGTTGAAACCATTCAGTACGGTCAGTGGCTGAGCTGTGTGTATTCCTTTTGTAAGGAACAATTTTTCTGGAGTGAGGGAGGATGGCTAATGTAGCAGGATTATGGTGCAGCATTCTGCAAAACATTTATTATTTTTATGCAAAAACTTTGAAGATTTGAGCATGCAAAAAGTACAGAATGTTAATGCCAAAACCTCATCAATTCAAAAGCATTAAAAGTTGTATTGGTGCCCGGAGTGTCCACTTAAGACTCCAAATTTGAGATGATGTTTCGGGTTGCAACTGACATCATAGCACAAAATAATTATTGTAGTAAGCACTGGACACTCTATATCCTCCTAAAAAGATAAAGTCTATAAAAGTACATTAAAATAAATAAATAAATAGAACAGCACTTCAAAATCCTAATTGATCTAATGACATACCAGGGAAATCTCCTTTGGTCATCTTTTCATAAAGAAGAGCCTTTTCCTCTAGCTTCTGCCTGGAACAGATACATATTTCAAGTTAGAGCAAGAATCTCCAACAACATTAATTTGCACCAACCACTGACAGCCCTCCGATTTATTCTGAACCTCAACTGTGCTCTTAGGGTTAATTCACAACTTTTACCTCTCAGGTATATTTGCAACCAACCTTATCCAAGATACATTTGGGACAGTCTTCTTCATAAATTCACTCACAACCCAACCACCCCTCCTGTTCAAGTACATAACATATTAGATGAAGAGGACATTCACCTGGATTTTTCCAAAGGATTATCCTGTTCCACCACTTCGTCCAAATCTTTTCCTGCTCGGCCTGCAACCCCTGCATTCTGCTTACTCCACACACTGGGTTTCTGGAAGAGGAAATTATTTCTTTAAGCAAAATATTAAATTGGATCTATTACCAACCCAAATCGTATCTGAGACACACACACACACACACACACACACACAAAAATATTAAAATTTTATTGGTCTATACTACAAAAAACAATTAGTGCTTAATAACTTAAGTGCTGAACTTATTTAGTTAACTTTAATAATATCTGAACACCTCTAAACCCGAATATGGGTTGCAATATCATGTTAGTTTGAATATGGATATATGCATTAGGGTCATATTGCATTCTATATAGGACATAGACAACCTACATATTAAATGTATATATATATATATATATATATATATATATATATATATATATATATATATATATATATATATATATATATATATATATATATATATATATTGTATCCCTTCGTAATATCTGCTGCACTATCCTTACCTCCCTTTACTGTAATGGAACAAAGAGCCAAGTACATCTGTAACCTATAAAAACTATTTAATACAATTTATATCTACTGCACACACTGTATCCCCCTCTACAATAATGTAATGTGTAGTGCTAACTATACTTGTGTTAAATATACAATAGTGAACTTACTGTACCTTTCTTTAATATAACCTATAAAGAGTGTATACACACACTTTATTTATGCTGTACCTTGCCTCCTCTTTAATAAAATAAATAGGATATAAATAGAATCATTACTGTATCTTGCAGAAGAGAGATGCTAAAATTAGAATAATGTAAAAAAAAAAAAAAAAAATCAACGCCAGGTTGTATTTTTGTTACCCACTTTGGGGACTCCTTTTGGTTTTGAGGGTCCTCCAGCATCTTTGGAAAGCTTCTCTTGCTTGAATTCTTCTTGTTTCCTGAACAGCTCAGCCTTGAGATCTACCAACTAAAAAAACAAATATTGAAATTATTTACTGATGAGCAAATGAAGGAGCAGTCCCTGCCGAGCGAGAGTGTGAATGGGCAGTAACGGGCAGTCTCCCACCCTTGCGATGGAACAGAGCACTATCCCATCGAGTGAACGAACAGATTCCACAAGAGCAAGTGAGTGAACGGGAAGGCCATCACCAAGAGTAAACGAGCCGTCTCCTACAGAATAAATAGGTACTCACAGCAAGTAATTAAGCAGCCTCCCCCCCTCAGTGGGCGAACAGGCAGCCTCTCTCCCCCTCAGTGGGCGAACAGGCAGCCTCTCTCTCTCCCTTTCTCTCTCTCAGTGGGCGAGCAGGCAGTCCCTCTCCCCCCCCTCAGTGGGCGAGCAGGCAGTCCCTCTCCCCCCCCTCAGTGGGCGAGCAGGCAGTCCCTCTCCCCCCCCTCAGTGGGCGAGCAGGCAGTCCCTCTCTCCCCCTCAGTGGGCGAGCAGGCAGTCTCTCTCGCTCTCTCTCTCAGTGGGCGAGCAGGCAGTCTCTCTCTCTCTCTCAGTGGGTGAGCAGGCAGTCTCTCTCTCTCTCTCAGTGGGTGAGCAGGCAGTCTCTCTCTCTCTCTCTC